TGGCCAGTCGTCGGTTCATTCGCCTCTTCTGGAAAACCTTGTCGAGCAATGGATCCCGATCCTGGACGTTATCACAAGTTATCCATGTAACAAACTTCGACTTCTTTTCTTTCATTCAACTCCCTTGTGAATGCATCTGGGAAGCGCAGCAGGTTCCTGAGACGTGACCTTTTTTGAGGGACCCATGCTAGATTGGGGTAGTAGGTTGCAACGCACAACATGCTCACCTATTCCGTTTCTGACCATTGTCTCATGTCCTTCACAAAGGATGTTAGTGAGACTAACTGGTCTGTAGTAAATTAATGTGTGATGGTTGTAGGAGCCGTTGAACAGAGATCAAACGAAGGTGCGCTATCTATTCTTCATTCAACATACAAATGGACGACAGGGGCCGAAAAGAATGAGGAGAGAAATAAGAGGGACAAATATAAAGTAATATGAAACAACAAACAAAAGTTCGTAATATTACTGGACGCCGGCCCCAAATGGATTGCGCTTTTCACACACCGACCCGCTATCTTGCGCGTCAGACTTTGGCTAGCCGAAGACTCCGATTGTGAATTTCCTAAGAAAATTCAATTGCTTCGACCTGAATAAGCTACCAGTATGACTTGCTCGAACACATCATCTGAACTCAGTCGTGGGTATATATATATATATATATATATATATATATATATTCCAAAGGTGAAATTCGTCTTGCATAAAGCAAATGATGCATGAACTGAAAACTAGGAAGCACTAAACAGCTGTTTCGACCTGGTTGGGTCTCATCGGCAGTGCGAATCCATCGACCCAACTGTGGATCGAACCTGAAACTTCACGGGCAGGAAGCAAACATGCTACCCACTCGGCCACCGGGCAGCTGATCACACCGTTTTTCATTCTCCATTTACACGATATAGCACAACTCAACTTTGCGAGCTTGTTGCAGACCTCGCACATCTCAGCACTCGTCGAATTTAACCTTTGAAATTGAATCAAATCTCCTCTTACTCACATACAGATATATATATTTGATAATAAGCAGTATGTGAATGACTGGACAAAATTTCCCTGGAAGCACACGACCGGTTTCGCCGTTCTTGCCGCTCGTCAGGCAGCGTATCCGGTAATCTTTTGTCGGTTCATTCATATATATATATATATATATATATATATATATA